AAGGAGAAGGAAGAAGATCTAAGTTGGGTTTTTGATTGAAAACCTAAATCACTTCATTTCTTGGAGAGAAAAAAAGAACTAAAATGGGTGTTTTTCTTGTGAAAACTTAATAGATCAAAAATAGGTTTTTGATTTTCTTTTTAAAAAGAATCATTTTAGAAAATGTGAGAGAGAGAGAGAGAGAGAGAGAGAGAGAGAGAGAGAGAGAGAGAGAGAGAGAGAGAGAGAGAGAGAGAGAGAGAGAGAGAGAGAGAGAGAGAGAGAGAGAGAGAGAGAGAGANGGGGGGGGGGGGGGGGGGGTGCATGGTAGTTGAGGTTGGTTAATTTGGAGAAGCTTAGGGAAGAGAATATTAATGGAGAAAAAGAGAGAAGAGAAATAATAGGAAGATGAAGAATGGAAGTCAAATATGGAGGAGAGTAGGGAAATTTAAATACGCAAAGATATCTAATTTCATGGAAGTTGTAAAAGTCTTTTTTAGTTCTTTATTTTGTTTTTACATGTTGAATTATTTGAAGTGAGAACTCATTATTTTCACTGGTTTTAGTACTTCAAAACAATAGAATATATTAAATAATAAGTCCTTGACTTCATCTTTGTCGTTCTAATGCAAGCAAAGACTTCATAATTTCTATGAAGTCAATAGCAGATATTAAGGTTCCAAATGCTAATAAAAGGGAACATTAGGCTTAAAAAAATTCTAATTTATACTATTATCTTAGTCATTTAAATCATTTCTCTTGAAATTTTATTTTAATAAAAATTTAAAATTGTAGAACTTTCACTTTTGAAAAGTTTAAAAAAAAAAAAATCATTTTTCAGATCTTGCAGAATAGTAAACTTACTATTTCTAAAAAAGTTTTCGAGAAACTTGGAACAGTCGTATTTTATCATTTTTGTGGAAATTTCAACTTTCAAGAAAAATAATTCTATTAGGTGCAAGTTGGTTTACAAAAATGCCAATTATGAGGGAAGAATATAATATACTAATAAATTTAAAGACAGAGGGATATGTTCCCAAAACCTTTATGCCTACGATGAGGGAAGAATATACTAACTGAATAATTCAATTGTCTTATTAAAAAAAAAAAAAACTTAGAATTTTGAATAGTGATTTTCTTTTAACTATTCTTGAATAGTGATTAGTTCTGCACGTTTGAGTTTCGAGGTGAAGCTTATGAATATATGGAGATTAAGAAATGAGATTTTTTCTTTCATATACCATATATAAAACCTTATTACCAAAAATGTTCATAGTTTCTAATTTACCCGTCCTGTCCACATTTTTTCTACAGNCAACGAGACAGGTTGGTAGTCCTGAGCTTGTAGAGGTTAGACATATATTATCTGTGGGTTTTCTGGTTGTGGGGGGAATGGTGGTAGATTCTCCATAACTAGAGCTCTGTGTTGTCTTAGAAGTTGTATGAGCTTGTGTCTTCTTCTTAGGGTTGATGGAATTCTTGGCATTTTGCATTGAGGGTAGTATACTTAAGGAGCCTGAAACAAGCGTGGGGATGGGGCTATTGGAAGTGTGAGAGGGATTGGGTGATAGGTTAATGATTAGGGCTTCCAATTGCATGGCTTTTGGTGAAGATTAGACTTGGTTTTGACTGAAATTCAGATTGAAACTCGAAGAAGAAGAAGAAGAAGAAGAAGAAGAAGACATATTGCAGAAATTGTAGAAAAATTGTAGATAAATTGTAGACTGTTTTCAACAACACCCAATCAAAACGAATAATGATTTTTGAAAATCCAAATTTGAATTCAAAGCTTCAAAGCTTTTTAATGGCAGTCAATGGTGGAATTGCTGCTCTCTTGTCTCTTTGAAGGTTTGTTCTTCTTCATTGAGAAAATTTGAAGCTGAAGGTAAATGTGTGTATGAACTTTGAAGATTTGACTTCAATTTTGATGAACTTTGTTGTTCTTCATTGATGAACTTCAACTGGAGTAAAATGGGAAACTAACTTTGTTGAAGGGTTTCTTCAATTTTCTGTGAATTTAGAGGGAGAATTTGGTTTCAGAAGATGGAAAATGGTAAAAAGAACGTGGGTATGGGTAAAACGTGGGTGGGACTGAGGAGTTAGGAGAGAGAAACGTGCATATTTCTTTAATTAAGGAGTAAAAAATGTACAATTAATTATACCCTTAATTAATTATGGTATAGAATTGGTAATTTGGTATACTAAGTGTAATTAAGCCAAACCTTAAACATTGAGGGTAATAAGGTTTCCTATGTGGCAAAGGAATGTAAAAATCTCTTAAGAAAAATCTCAACGACCCTCGACTTTATCTTTTTTTCTTATTTTCATAATTTTATTGATGTCCGATATCTGCATTGGAGTATCGATTAATTCGAATTCAAGTAAGACCTATTAATGTGGAAGCGCTCTCTACCATAAGTAGTATGCAGTAATGAATACTAATTGTCTATGTTGATATAATATGTTGGTGAAACCATGAAAATTGAGTTTATACCTAAAAATTATAAAGAAATGTTTTAGGATAGAGCGCGGACATCTCGTCCTCTTTTAAAAAGATTCTATTTCATTACTGTCAAATTTATTGATGGTCGATATTAGGGGTGTACATAGGTCGGGTTGGTGCGGGTTTTTCAATTACCAAACCAAATCAATGGTGTCGGGTTTTTAAATTTATAAACCAAACCAAACCAATAATGTCGGGGTTTTCAATCTCGATTTTTCTCGAATTTTTCGATTTTTTTCGGGTTTTCGGATTTTTTCCCGGTAAAGTCTTACTAGCACAAAATATGTAACTCATGCTCCAAATATTTATTTTAGTCCTAGTAGGATACAACTATATAATGTATTTTCTAAGAAAATGAAATAATAATATGTGTTGAGTCATAACATTGTACTCAAATATTGTCACGACCCCAACCCCGGTCGTGATGGCGCCCAACACACTGCTAGGCAAGCCCGACCATTTAGACAACCTTAATCAATTAATCACAGTGCATGAATAAATTAACATAGCTGAATTACTAAGTCAAATGCTGAAATCGTGAAATAGATTCAAACATAAGGAAAACCCAAAATATAAAATGACTACACAACCCGTAGAATCCGGTGTCACAAGTATGAGCCTCTAATACATGAGTATCAACCTACTATATATCGTCCTCTAGAAATGCGGAAACAAAATAAATAAGATAGAAGGAAGATCAGGATTGCGAACGTCAAATGCAGCTACCTTGAAACTCCCAAATGTGATGTTAGGCAGAGAAGTCCTCACTCAGCCTCAGTAGTACCTGGATCTGCACGCAAGGTGCAGGGAGTAATGTGACCCAGTGAGTAATAAACATAAATAAAGACTGAGAATAAGAAATCCTGAATAGGCACAAAGTAATTCTATAAATACAGCAACTTGAACCCAGTAGCATAAAATCAATAAATCAGTGAACACAATTATAGAAATATCACAACAGGTAGATAAGTAAATGACAATCAAAATATGCAATGCAACACATAGACCGGTACTCTCCAGTACCCGCTGCGGCGTGCAGCCCGCTCCATTTATTTATCATCGACGGCGCTCACTGGGGGTGGGGGCCCCTTACGGCCCAAGCGCAATAATAAGCCATATCGTGGCATCAATTAGGCCCTCAGCCTCATATCAATATCAATATCATACCGCTGCGGCGTGCAGCCCGATCCCCTACTCAGTCCAAAATCACATAAGCCTCTCGGGCACAATAATATAGAAATATTCAGCCCAAACTTCATTTAAAAATATTAATTAAGTTTCTAGTTTGAGAAAAAGGTGGCTGAATTTGCAAAATAGTATTAATTTCTAAAACTGAGTTCAATAGTATGTAAAAATGGTAAGAAACCAGTAATAGTAATCCCTGAAGGATTCAATCAGTTGGCACGAAGCCCAAATAGAGCAATCAGCTCAACTTATAATGATAATAAATAAATTTCAGTCAAATACGCAGTATATTCATCTACCAGGACGGACCAAGTCACAATCCCCAACGGTGCTCTACCCCACGCTCGCTACCCGGCGTGCAAGTCACCTCAAGTATAGCACTACGATGTGCAAACACGGGATTTTACATCTATTACTCACCTCAAGCCGGCCAAAATCCTAGCTCGCTATGCCCTTGCCTTTCGAATCGACCTCCTCGTGCGTCGAATCTGATCAAAACCACAACGAATGCGTCACAATATGCCAATGAAACAACACCCGAGCGAAAACAATCAAAAAATAGCTGAAATGTCGAAATTAGCAAAACCCGAGCCCCGGTCCCACTTCTCGTAAATCAGAAAATTTAACATCAACGGATTCCTTATCTCGCCACGAGTCTATACATATAAAGAACACCAAAATCGGAGTCCAAATGACCCCTCAAATCCCCATTTTAACTCTCTTAAGTTTCAAGCCCTAATCACCATTTTTGCCTATTAATTCCTTGAGTTTTCAGCTCTAATCTATGTATTTACACCATAAAATCGTGTTTTAGACTCAGAAATCCTTACCTCAAAGAAGTCCCTTGATTTCTCTCTTCCAACTCGCCTAAATTCTCCAAGTCCGAAGTGAAAATTATGAAACCCTTTGAAATTTTGCGAAGGAGAAATTAAATATCACTGACCAGTTATTTCCGCATCTGCGGCCCTTAGCCGCATCTGCGACTTCCGCTTTTGCGGTTCAAAAGTCGCTTCTGCGGTGACAAGACCGCTTCTGCGGTGACAAGACCGCTTCTGCGGCTCCCGCATCTGCGATTCCATTTTCGCATTTGCGGTTTCCCCTTAGATCTCCTAAATCCGCATCTGCGGTCACTTTGTCGCATCTGCGACTCTGCATATACGGTCGCCCTATGCGCACCTGCGATCCCTGCCGCTTCTGCGGCTCGCTCCTCACTTCTGCGGTACCGCTTCTGCGGTCCCACTTCCGCAGAAGCGAAAATACCAGAAGCAGCAG